AGTATAACAGTAAGGTTTACCACTACAAGTACACTTGCTGAGGTTCGAGCTGAGAAGGCAAGTGCAAGGTAAACACTACCGCTGTAAGTGCACTTGTTGAGACTCAAAAGGTAGTTGCAACGCCAAACACTCCCGCTACAAGTGCGTTTGCTGAGACATCTGTGCCAAACAGATAGTACACAATATATGCGGAGGGACTCATGGCACCTTCAGCCTGGTGACTCATGGCAGAATATTCCATGTGATCCTTAAGGACACATGTCTTCTCTCTATTTGGCCACTTGGTGTCCTCTTGGTACTAAGGAAAAGCCTATAAATATGACAACTTCTCAAGGTCCAGAAGAAGATTATTGGAAATTTTGGAGAGATGCTGCCCATTTGTGCACTGTCATTCATTTATTCTTGAGCTACTTGTTTCACCCTCACCTAACTACTCACCATATAGTCATTCCACCATTATTGGACCATTAGCATAATTTTGTCTCTCTAATCACTACTCACATCGAACCTTCCCTACAAAACTAACAAAACTACATGGTTAGATTAGTAGGAAACAAATAATTAATATCTCATTTATTGTCTTTATTGGTTGATGATGATACCAGTTGCACCAATTTGCAATTTAAAAAATAATAATAATAATTCTAAAAACAAATTTAATCTGTTAAAATTAGAAAATTTTGATTTTGCTTGCTATTTTTATTTTTATTTTTTTAAAAAACCTGTGAAAATATAGCCATATACACATTTTTAGTACATTTTTGTGGATACATTTTACGGACTACAAAAAGTTAGGTTTCATGGTTTCATGCTATTGACATTTACATTCTAAAGGAGAGGTTTTTGCAGTTAGGTTTCATGGTATTGACATTTACATTGTAGTCAGGTTTCATGGTATTGATATCTATATTCTAGTTTTTTTTTTTTTTTATTTTTTTTTTTTTTTGTGTGTGTGTGTGTAAACTTGATCATATGTCTAACATTTTAAAACTATACAAGATGATGCCCTCATTTGTGCAGGGGTTCCACTTTACTTGCCTATACGTTGAATCATCACTGCAAGGGGGCTACGAGAGAGAGTGTATTGGTGAGGCGCGATAGGCGGTATTTGGGGGTGGGGACCATCTGGGGAGAAGGGGTTATAGGCGGTATTTGGGGCAAAGAGGAATTGGGGGTGGCAGAGAAGATTGGAGAAGGGCTGAGAATGGCGTGAAAGGCAGAGAGGAGCTACCTGAGGTAGTAGTTGCAGCAATTAGAGGTGTAAAAGATGATGGTTAAGGTTTCAAAAATTTAGGATGAAGGCATAGTTTTCCTTTTTTTAGATTGTAAGGATGAAGGTAAAGTTGGACTTAAAATAGATGTTAAAAAAAAATTATAATAATAATAATAGGAGAAGAAATTTTCAAATATTTTAGTGGAGTCCAAAAATAAAGCTGTTAGTAGACTAGAATATAAATTGTTTTTTCCAGATGTATTAAAAAATAATAGGGTGAATTACACTAATAGTCCTTATAGTTTGAGACTCGTGTCAATTTGCTTCTTAATTTTTTAATTGTGACATATTTGACCTTAAATTTTGAATTTTTTTCCAAATAAGGACAATTGAAAATACCATTGCTTAATTTTAAGGGTAAAATTATCAATTTGATAAATATAAACTAATTTGACAAAAATAAATGTCAAAAAAATATTTTTAAAATTATTTTTACTCACCAAAGATAAAATTATGTAAAATTGATAAATCTTTTAAACATTTATTTATTTTATCAAATTAATTTTTATTATATGTTTGGATGATAATCATGTAATGGGTAATCAATATATTTAATATATGAAATGTTTTTAGTTTTGGATTTTTCGATTTTTTTTAATGGTTTTGTTTAATAATGATATCAATGTTGTTGGCATGTTCTTTTGAAAAAATAAAAACTAATTTAATAAAAACAAAAACAATCACCATTACATGATTATCATCTAAACATATAATAAAAATTAATTTAGTAAAAATAAATAAATAAATGTCTAAAATATTTATCAATTTTACATAATTTTATCTTTAGTGGGTAGAAATAATTTTTAAAAATTCAAAAATATTTTTTTGAAATTTATTTTTGTTAAATTAGTTTATATTTTATCAAATTGACATTTTTGCCCTTGAAAATTCCAATGGTATCATCGATTGTCCTTATTTGGAACAATATTCAAAATTTAGGATCAAATGTGTTACAATTGAAAAGTCAGAGACCAAAATGACACAAGCCCCAAACTATAGGGACCATTAGTGTAATTCACCCTATTTTATTTTAGAGATCTCATTAATATGTGCTCTTAAGATACTTATTAAAAGAGTTTTAAAAAAGACGTATTAAAAAAAAGTTAAGGGGAATTATATTAATAGTCCTTGTAGTTTGAGATTCGTGTCACTTTGGTTTTTAACTTTTTAATTGTGATACATTTAATTTTGAATTTTGAATTTTATTCTAAATAAGGACAATTGAAAATACCATTGCTTAATTTTAAGGGTAAAATTATCAATTTGATAAATATAAACTAATTTGACAAAAATAAATGTCAAAAAAATATTTTTTAAATTATTTTTACTCACCAAAGATAAAATTATGTAAAATTGATAAATCTTTTAAACATTTATTTATTTTACCAAATTAATTCTTATTATATGTTTGGATGATGATCATGTAATAGGCAATCTATATATATTTAATATATGAAATGTTTTTAGTTTTGGATTTTTTGATTTAATGGATTGGTTTAATAATGATATCAAAGTTGTTGTCATGTTTGACTTTTAGAAAAATAAAAGCTAATTTAATGAAAACAAAAACAACCACCATTACATGATTATCATCCAAACACATAATAAAAATTAATTTAGTAAAAATAAATAAATAAATGTCTAAAATATTTATCAATTTTACATAATTTTATCTTTAGTGGGTAGAAATAATTTTTAAAAATTCAAAAATATTTTTTTGAAATTTATTTTTGTTAAATTAGTTTATATTTTATCAAATTGACATTTTTGTCCTTGAAAAATCCAATGGTATCATTGATTGTCCTTATTTGGATCAATATTCAAAATTCATGGTCAAATGTGTCACAATTGAAAAATCAAGAACCAAAATGATACAAGTCCCAAACCATAGGGACCGTTAGTGTAATTCACCAAAAAAAAAAATATATTATTCAATGGCAGGCCTGACTAGGTCGTCCAAACTGGACCAAAAAAATCCAAGCTATTATGTTCTGTCATGGAACATTGTGAGCTCAACCAAGATAATGTTTTAATTAAGGAAAAAAAATTAACAAACAAACAATGTAATACTTTTCAAATGTCGCAATGTATAATTCAATGATATATAATTCAGATGAATCTTCGTAAGAATAAAATCTACAAGATCGAAGCTTCCTGGAGCACACTTGTAGCATTAATTATGATTAGGATAAGCTTAAAAACAAAATTAATTGGCCGGCTGAAATTAACACTTGAACAATTTTTACAAATCTGTACTACCAATTCAAATTTTAATTAGATAATCAATTCATAAGGAATTTGTTAAATGATCAACTGGTTTAGTAATGTGTACTTAATCGAGATTAAATTCATACCCATATTACAATTCTTAAGCAAAATCACTGTAAATAGAAAGCAATTAAAATTAGGAAAAATTATAAATCAGGTTTAGTTTTAAAAAATAATTACATATTCATGAAATTTTTTTTATAATTTTAATAATCAAAATTTATAAATTTTATCATGAATCTGATTTTTATTTTTATTTTTCAACCATACAGACACTGATTGATTATTTTCCCTTAAAATTATCTTCTTCTTTTTTTCTTTTTTTTTCTTTGTTTTTATTTTTTTGAACGCACTTAAAATTTTCTGTTTGTCATGTCTATTTCCTTATTGCTGATAAAATAATATTTCCATTGATATTTTTAGTGCTATTATTATTGTAGGCAAATTATACTCATGATCTTTGTAATTTGCTTTTTATGTCAAATTAATTCTTATAATTTTAATTTCGTCAATTGTGTTAATTTAATTAATTCAATTGATAAGGTTTGGTGCAACTTATAATGTTGCATATATAGCTTTATTTTTTTATTTTTTTAAATACTTTATTTTTGGAGTCCGTGCAATAGTACTTGGTACTATTTTTTTGTAATCGTAAGACACAAAAATAATTTAAATAAGTTTTAAAAAATTTAAAATTTGAAAAATGAGTGCTTTTAACTTATGATTCTGATTATCAACTTATAATTTGGGCAAAATGCATCAAAAGACTAATAAATCTTTCAAAATTGGACAAAAATAAAAGCAAAATGGTTTATTTCAAATTGAACATCAACTTCTCAATGTCTTCAAGAATAATGGATAGACCATTTTGCCTCCTAATTTCAATCTAATTTTTAAAAAGATATTATTAATTGAATCAAATTAACATAATATATAAAATTTAAGTGCAAACTTAAAACAATTAAAATTATAAGAACTAAATTGACATTAGAAACAAATTACAAAGAATACGGATGTAATTTTCCATATTAACATTAGAAATCAATATTTTTAAAGTTCAAAGAATGAGATAAGCTACATGATTACCAAAAGACTACTTGCACAAAAGTAAAACAGAAAAATATTTCAAATATGAGCTGTTCTGTGTTGTATTCTTTCTGTTAAATTCGTATACAATAACTAGTACAGCTCACATTTCAATTTAAATAGTTGACAAAGCTTTATATGATGCAAAACACGACAATTGTTAGGAAACACCAAACAACTACAACAAAGACAGACTTTATGCCAATACTACATTCAATGATTCCCATTTATAATATAGTCTCTTTCTTTATTTTTATAATTGGCCCTTTAATATACTCTTAAACTATGTTAATAATTAGAAGCAAATTAACATAATAACCTACGATATATATCTATTTGTGTGCATTACTCTTCCATATTCATATCCCAAGAATCCTCTCTCTCTCTCTCTCTCTCTCTCTCTCTCTCAATGGAGATTCACTTGCAGATGAATCCCAAGATAGGCGCAACGGTTCCATTGGTTTACAAAGGCAGGAGTGGGCAAAAGATTAATAAGGTCAAAATTATATCATGCAGTGCTCAAAAGTTGGCCATGCACAAACCAAAAACAAACTTTTATGAAGTTCTTTCTCTTGGCTCTGAGAATGTAGGGTTTGACGAAATCAAGAAGGCTTATAGAACCATGGCACTTCAATACCACCCTGATGTCTGTCCACCCTCAACCAAACAAGAGTCCACGAGGCGGTTTATCGAGCTCAGAGAGGCCTATGAGACTCTGTCAGATCCTATATCGCGCAGAAATCACGATTATGAGTTGGGTTTGGTTGATTCATTAGGGTGGAGTGGCTTTTGTATGCAAGAGAGAAGATCAAGTTTTCCTAAGGAGGTATGGGAGAGGCAGCTCAGTGGATTAAGAGAGCGGTCCGGTGATCGGATGAAGGGTAGGAAGAGAGATTGATATTATTGTAATTTTATATTTCATTATTTCAATTGTTGATAGTCCATGTCAAGATTGGGCCATGAACTAAAAATTGGTGACGTTTAGTATTTCTCCTGTTTTAATGTTTCTAATATTTTTGGGCAATTAGTAAAATAAGCTGTTTAATTTCATTGTAGGAAATTATAATTTCCCTTTTGCTCATTTTTGGGCAAGTGTTGGTGACAAGGTTTATAATAAATTTGATTTTACGAATTTTTATGACAGACTTTTTGTATACTTTTTTAATACAATAATAAGTAATAAATGTTTATTTTTCTCTGCCACACTTTTTTAAGAATATAAAAAAGAAGGACTTATAAATAAATAATTTTAGTTATTAGAACTGGCCTATAAGTGCACTGGTAACTAGATTGGGTCTCCTAGTGTCATTAGGGAGTCGGCCGGACTGGATTGGGCTCATGTCTAAAACAATTTGAACCAATATATATATATACTGGGTAGGTAGGCACATGCAAGGCATGGGCGCGTTGGCCATTTTTTTATTTTTTTAAAAAAAAATTGTTTTTGATTTTATTTTAAAGTAGTGTTTGTTTGATGGAAGAAAAATATAATGGAATAATCATTTGGTAGAGATTTAAAGAAAAATAATTTTATTTTAATTCAATGATAGAGGTTAAAGAAGAACGATTATTTGGTGTGTACTATAGCATTATCCATATGTATACATTTATCTTCCCCCGTCTCAATTTATTAATCCCTTTTAGAGATTCCAACTTTGTAAAGGGGCATATACAATCATTACACTTAAATTTAAATTCCAAAATATTTTTCCCCTAATGTCCTTATTTTTTCAAAATTTATTATATTTATAATTACTCAAAAGGGGTAGTTTTGGAAAATTAAATTTTTTTTACTTTGTCATTTTTTTCCTAATATGTTTTTTTCCACCTCTGAGAGTTTGTATGATGTCATGTGTAAATAAAATTTCTCATATTTTTTCCTTTTTTTCTCCAATTATTGGATAAAAAGGCCTTTTATTTTTAAAAAATAGCATAAAGTTCTTTTAAACAATTCAAAACATATCCGATTAATTTGAAATTTTTTATAGATGATATGCTCAACAAATTCTACAATATGAACATTTGATTTGTTTAATCTTGTAGTCTATTCAATTCCGAGAAGAAAAATCTTATTTTGGGATAATAATCTCAAATAATATTGAATTAATTGAAATAAATGCCGAATATCATTAAACTTAGTGAAATAGAACAAAACTATTAATTTTTAAAAGTTTATATCCAAACACCATTTGTGATGTGTACTGAGAGTTTGTATGATATGTAAATATAATTACCCAAAAGTGATACCTCTGTGAAAGCTGATTTTTCCAAAATAATCGTCAAAACTCCACCAAAACAAAACAAAAAAAAATTAAAAATAAAATAAAATAAAATAAAAAAAGAAAGAAAGAAACCAAAAAATGGCAAAATGGAGAATTAAAAAACAAGCCATGGACAAAATAGGAAATTCGAAACCCTTACATAATTGACCCAAAAACCTTGCATAATTTCTAAAAATCCTTCACTCAAGGTCATTCCACAAACTAATAAAGGACCAAACAAAAAATAGAAATACAAGCTAAGAGCAAAATAAAAATAATAAAAAAAGAAGTAAAAAGCCAACAAAATGAAAGAGGTTCTTATAGGGATTTTTTGTGAAAAGCCCCTTCCATGGGGCCTATTTTGTGTGAAACCCACGGATGAAAACAATGGCCCCAAAAGCCCCTCAATTAAAAAAATAGCATGAATTAACTGAAATGCCCACCCATATAAGTGGGGAAATATGAAACAATTGCATCGTTTCTCTCCTCTCCCTCTGTTTCATCGATTGAAAACCCTTATCTCCTCTGAATATCATCATTCGAAAACCTTAGCAATGATTGAAACCCTTCTCTGAGTCTCATTACTCTCGCTCTCTGGTGCTACTTCGTTACAGTTTCGTCGATTGAAACCCTAGCAACGTTACAGGTTCGTCGCTTGCGCTCGAATCGAACTCGGCATTACACTTTACTCTCTCTCTTAAACCCTTCTCTGAGTCTCATTACTATCACTTTCTGGAGCTACTTGGTTACAGTTTCGTTGGTTGAAACCCTAGCAACGTTACAGGTTCGTCGCTTGTGCTCGAATCAAACTCGGCATTACGCTTTACTCTCTCTCTTGGACACACATTTTATAGGCGATTTTTTTCTCTTTCTGCTAGTTTTTCGATATTGTGAACTCTGTCTGGGTTTGTTTTCATTTTGGGAGGGGTGTATAAGATTACGTTGGGTGAGTAGAATTTGGGATTTTTGGTTATACTAAGGATCTTCTGTTCTAAAAATTTTATCACTATCTTAAAATACTTTAAATTACTAAATCATGTGAGAATGTTAAGTTTAAAAATTTTGAAAACTAATTTAGGTATTTCGGAATTACAGAGTAAAATTTTACTTTAACTCTAGCCTTTGCTCATTACGCTTTGATTTATGTAGTGTTTTGGTCCTACAAGTTCAATGGTTTGAAATTCACTTGCTTCATGAATTTTTCAGAGTAAAATTTTACTTCCAATCAGAGTAAAATTTTACTTATAATGAGAGTAAAATTTTACTTATTACAACGTAAAATTTTACTTTAACTCTAGCCTTTGCTCATTACGCTTTAATTTATGTAGTGTTTTGGTCCTGTCATTTCAATGCTTTCAAATTCACTTGCTTATAACGAGAGTAAAATTTTACTTATTACAAAGTAAAATTTTACTTTAACTCTAGCATTTACACATTACACTTTAATTTCTGTAGTGTTTTGGTCCTGTCATTTCAATACTTTCAAATTCACTTGCTTCATGAATTTTTTAGAGTAAAATTTTACTGCCAAACAGAGTAAAATTTTACTGTCTCATTACAATGCTTGTCCATTTTGTTTAGTGCTTATTTGTTTTGTCACATTGTTGTTTAAAGTAAAATGTTACACTGTTGATATAGGGAAACTTTTTAGTGTTTTAAAATGGTTGTTACAAGAAGGAAATGTGGTGATAATGATGATGATGATTTTGAAGTTCCACCAACGGTTATACAAAAGAAGAAAGTCCCTAAAAAAAGAGCAAAAATAGTAATGAAAGTCCTTCGAAGTTGAATATTGTACATGGAGTATGGAAGAGGGAGAACTATATGAAACAATATAGGTCAAATATTGTTTCATTGATAAACCTAATGCGAGACACAAGGTTCACTAAAAGACACATTACTGCCCTTGAGAGAACACCTTTTGGGATGTTGTTTAAATGTTTTTGGAAGAAAGATGATGTGGTGTTAAAGAAGTTCAAGAAAGTTGATGATAATGTCATGAATATGATCAAATCTTATGACTTTCATGCAAAGGGATTTAAGCTTGGGGGGAAAACATGTGATATACGGGACAGTGACGTTACTTTGATTTTTGGGATAAAATCGAGAACGAAAAAAGTAGATGTGTCATATAGGAAGAAACAAGAATCACCTTTTGTGTAGAGAAGGCTTCGTAATATGTCAAGAATATCTGTAAAGAGTTTGCGAGAGGCATTAGGAGATGCGTTGGAAGGCACAACGAGAGTTGATGTTGAGGATGTTGCACGAATAATGTGTTTATTTGTTGTGGCGACTTTGCTATTACCAACAACTGGTCTAACAGTTGGATGGGCCTTTGTCGCCCTTTTAGAAGATTTGAAAATGATGAATTCGTATGCATGGTCGACTGCAGTTGCATCCACGTTGACTACTTCAATCCATTCTTCATTAGGAGGTCCTAAAAATATCACTGGATGTGTAGTTCTTTTGGTAAGTAAATTGAACTACTTGAAATATTATGCAATCTATCTTTAGAGAATTAACTAATTTCGATTTTTTATTTTATAGTATTGGTTATGCGAGCATACTACCCTCATTCAACCTCAAGGAAAAAATTTGTGTCCAAGGCTCCTTCGATGGGACTTATCAACATTGAGGAAAAAGCTAATGAAGAGGTCATTGCAAACACTAAAGCCCGAAAGGGTATCATCTTTCTAAACTCAGCCTTACTGGTTCACTTTGCTTAAAATTATACTTACATAATAAAATCTTACTCTTGAACTGAGTAAAAGTTTACTTACAGTCAGAGTAAACTTTTACTTTGAAACATAGTAAAATTTTACTTACTCTTGAACAGAGTAAAAGTTTACTTACAATCAGAGTAAACTTTTACTTTGAAACAGAGTAAAATTTTACTTACTCTTGAACAGAGTAAAAGTCTACTTACAGTCAGAGTAAATTTTACTTACTCTTGAATAGAGTAAAGTTTACTTTAAATCAGAGTAAAATTTTACTTTAAATCAGAGTAAACTTTTACTTACAGTCAGAGTAAAATTTTACTTACTCTTGAACAGAGTAAAAGTTTACTTTAGATCAGAGTAAAAGTTTACTTTAAATCAGAGTAAAATTTTACTTACAGTCAGAGTAAAATTTTACTTACTCTTGAACAAATTAAAAGTTTACTTTAGATCAAAGTAAAAGTTTACTTTAAATCAGAGTAAAATTTTACTTAACAGTCAAAGTAAAATTTTACTTACTCTTGAACAGAGTAAAAGTTTACTTTAAGTCAGAGTAAAAGTTCACTTTAAATCAGAGTAAACTTTTACTTACAGTCAGAGTAAACTTTTACTTACTCTTGTACAGAGTAAATGTTTACTTAAAATTAGAGTAAAAGTTTACTTACAATCAGAGTAAACTTTTACTTTGAAACAGAGTAAAATTTTACTCTTGTGGTTAAAGTTTGCTTAATTGCTGTCTTCTTTTCTTTTTCTAATTTTCAAATGTAGGTAAGTCACAATGAACTGAAGCTCATTTCCAGAGAAGAAATGGAACTCATTTGCAATGATGATGAAGAATATGCATTGGACATAGACGAAAATTTGGAGACTAAAGAAGATACATTAAACATAGAGGAAAATTTAGAGACTGAAGAAGATGAAGATCATGGAGCTGAAGCTTTAGGAGATGATCAACCTTTTAAGGACTTCATTGATCTTCAACAGGAAAACAAGAGGCTGAAAAGTGAGAATATGGCGTTGGTTGAATAACTGCAGGAAATGAGAGAAACAATGCAAAAAATAGAAGAGGATCAAGAGGCAAA